GAGAAGCAGATTCTGCTTCTGGGGGACACTGAGCTGAAAGATTTAAACGTCTCACATGTTTGCAAGGTAACAGGAGCCCATCCCTTCCATGGCTCTGCCAAGCACAGGCAGAGAGGCAGAGAGCAGCCTGCCAGGGAAACTGCACAGCCTCAAGTCCTGGCTTGGGGCATCTCAGTCATTTGACTCGTTTTAATTTCACAGTTCTGTAGCAAACAGGTGGAAAATCTAAAAAACCCTACAGAGTCAGCAACCACAGCAATATTTGCTTGCTCTCTGAGTGTGTGTGACACATTTCTCTCTCAAGGGAAATAAATCTAGGAACCCTTGAAAAGTGATATTTTTAACAGCAAGATTGACTTGGCCAAAATTAATGTCTTTCGAAGGGCAGTGCTGCCATACACCTATCCTGTGTTTACTTGGCAGAAGAGAGGATGTGCGTGCCCAAAAACTCAGATAAAGTAGAAAGCAAATTGTATTGCTTGACCTTTAGCTTGGGAGGCTTTGATTCTGGACTTTGATTCTGGACTGTGATTCTCTCCTTTGATTCTGGACTGCAAAATGAAAACCCAAGACCACACAAGCTGCTGCCAGGATGGAGTGGGATGGCTGAGAGCACCGGGGAAGGTCCATCTCCCATGCCTGGTTTGCACCAGTGCGTTGTGCTCCTCAAACTGGTGCAAGAAGGGGGAAGGAAGGAGTGGGTACAGGAGGTGTCTAATGCTGGCTGTACCCTAAATGTGCTGCAGTGGCATGCTTACCTCGACAGGGAGCTCCTCCTGCCATGAAAGGGATTATACTCCTTATTATCCCCATTAATGGCACATTTGTGGCCCATTTGGGCTGTTTGGATCTGTTGCAGTGTTTCTTTAGCTAATTCAAGCCAAAGGCTTTGCTCTATCCCCCTGTTTAGCAGTTGTTATTTGGTTCCAAGCACTCTTTTGAGTGAAAGTGAACACCTGGATTCCTGAGGAAAGACCTGCAGGACACTACAGGGACACACTCCAGCCCTTTCTATCTGTTTCTGGACAACCAGCTGGCTTTGTCAGACCATGTTGTCATGTCTCTAAAACATCTGGCAGAGGCAGAAATTAGCAGTTCTTTAAAGTGTGACAGCCACTCCTTCAGGCTCTTCTAGGGTACCGCTGCCTGCACATTTAGTGTTGCCTCTCATTGGGGTCTTGTGTGCCTTTGCCTCCAAGGGGCCACTGGCCACTCTGAGCAAGATACCACGCACTGGACCATCCTGCGCTGTTCCATTCCTTGAATTCACAGAACTGATTTCCAGGCCCAGATTTATGCAGGGAGAAGTGAGGCAGATGGCTGCCAAACGAGGGTAATAGCAGTTCCCAGAAGAGGTGTAAACTGCAGTGTTCAGCTTTCACTTATATTTAGAAGCTCACAAAGTCACGTTTTGTGTACTGCATCTCTCTGACAGGGGTCATTTTGCCATAGATACAGATAGAGCTATAGATATACAGATATACGTGAGAGCCAATACATATAAATATTTCTTGGTGTAAGTGCTTTTTTACATGGGACTGGATAACCAGGCTGACTTTGCAGCTCGACAAGCCTCTTAAGCATGGTACTGTGCAGTCCCTGACCACTTTGCTGGTTTGCAGGCTTGGAGTATCTTGTGGCAGGACATGAGGACATCCGAACAGGCAGACTCATTGTCAACATGAAAAGTTTTGTCCATCAGTGGAAGTCGGCACTCGGAAGAAAGGTCTTGGAGATTTTGAAAAGAGACTGCAACTAGAGGTGTGCAACTGCCTAGGGCATTTCTTTATGCACAAAATGCAACAGCCTCCACAAAGAGAAGACCTCTAGCATGAAAACTGGAATGTAAGAAAATAGTGTCAAAACATGTAGTGAGGCATTCAGAGTTGTAGGCGCTGTCTAATTTAACCCTTTCTGGCCAATGTTCTTTCACTTGCCTATATCTTCCTTGTCAGGGCCTCACCCTGAGCCCTGCTCATTATGTTGAGGGAAACGAAGGGTGGTGGATGCTTGTCTCGCTCCAGTACACTGTTGGAGCAACTCCCATGAAGCCACTGATCACCCAAGACTAAATTGGGGTGAATTTAGAAGAGCTACTGCTGAGAAGCAAAACACTGTCAGTGCCACTGGTGTGCATCCTGAGTGACTTCCAGGGGTTCCCAGAGGATGCTGTGGGGAAGGCAATGGGTAGGTGGTGCCACCAGCGTGGCAAGGAGAACCACTCTTTAGAAACACCCCCTTACAGGTTAGGACATGGCACCCACCAAAGAGAAGTGGGTGCCCCTTGCTTTTAACCTGTTTGCCCTGCTGAAGGTTTCAAGGGCTAGATTCTCTGCTGATGCTGCTGAGGAGAGAGCTGCTGGAGTAAATCGAATCCCTCTGCCTTGGCACAGGCGTGATGCAGGGCAGAGGCCAGCTCTCCACCCACTGCATGGCTGCAGAGAGGAGCCAGCTGCAGAGAGTGCAGTGTCTCTGAGCTTTTGTCCTTGAAGTGTTAAAAAATGAACCTAGCCCTAGTGTAAATATTTCATTGTATAAAGCACTTTACTACCTGCCACTTCATGGTGCGGGAAGTCTAATTGTGTTGGGGAGAGAAGAATTTGAAGGTGGCACATGGTAAAAAACTCCCTGAAACAGAAGCACTCCGGAGGACGCCCCGCAGTTGGACAGCGTTAACAGTATAAAGGGAATGGCCAGCCTGGCACTGGCCACTCAGAATATCTGAAGATGCAATCTGAAAGACAGAGTATTTGCACTGAAGTCCCAGCTTCAGACCAGCACTTGGACCCCGTGGGCAGGACTCCAGCAAGACTTTGCAAACAGAGTGGGGAGAAGAGACTTTGAGATAAAAATGCAATTGTTGGAGGAGAAAAACTCTGACTGCAGGAAAAGGAGTGGATGCAGAGAATGGAAAGGACTTGCATTCACATATCACAACCCAGCAATTCATGGTGGGCCTGGAGTTTATTTTATTTTTATGTTAGTATTTAAAACTGAACATTTTATTTGTTTTCTTCTGTGTTATTGTTTGCAATATATACAGCCATTATACTTCCTCATTAACACAGTATGAAATATAGCACAGTTTACTGCAGTTTTCAGCACGAAAATATATCCTTTCTGTAAAGCATCCTTAAACCACATTGCATAGAGTGTATTTTGTTCATGAGTGTGAGGGGAAAGAAGACATACAACACCAGAAAAGTCACTAGTCTACCAATCCACTTTATGTATGTATTTTTCTTTCAAGGTCCTGTGGACTCACAAAAAAAAAAAAAAAAAGATGCTATTTTGGTAATTTGTTTTTTTATCTCATGTATGTAATAAATATAATATGATTTCAACATCTTCTTCTCCTGTTACTGTTTATGCCAATGGTAGCAGGGTCTTCATGCCTGAATGAAAGAGCACAAGCAAAGATTGCACTGGGCGAGGGGAAGCTGCCATGGGGGATATTTTCCTCTCTGGATTGGGGGATCAAATGCAATGTGTGGTAGAAAGCAAAGTAGCATGGATGGCTCACAAAAATCCCATTTCACCTCTTGTTTTGGCAGGTTTATAAGTTCTTCTCATAAGAAGGGGAATTGTACCTAAATATTTTCAAAGCTGGCCAGATCCTTGCCTCCACACACGTCTTGAAGGCTGAGCTGTGGAGCAAGTACTTATAAGGAGCAAGTTGGGGATGGCAGAAATAAGGCTTGTTCCCTACATTTGAAACTACTAAGGGGAAACAAAAGGCTGTGGGAAACAAGTGTTATGGCAAAAGGTCTACAAAAACACTGCAGAGTGAAGTCAAGCATCAGAAATTAGTGGCCAGGGGGTCAAGACATAATCCACAGTGTGGGCAGCAGCTCCCCAGGTGGGTGGTTAATCAGTGACTGCAGCAGCACCCATCTCCCTGGTGGAGGAGAGGGCAGGGACAGGCTCCCCTGTGGAGGCACTCAGAGACCAGGAGCCTCCAATAGCTCTGTTTGGATTTAAAACTGTGAGTTTACCTGCTTGACACATTTTTAGCTTCATTTTATTTTAATGCCACTGAAAATACATTTGCAATGGCTAGGTGATTCATGTGACCTTGTGAGAGCTGGAGGGTGTGATTCCAATGTCCCAGCCTGCTCAAGCACTTTAGGAAATCAGGATGGCTTTGTCAGCAGTGCTGCTCACAGCATCTTGTCTGACTCCTGTCCTAGCCTTGGAGCTGGGCACTGGTGGTTTCATGGAGAAAAGGGGTTAACTTCTGAGGGACAAATCTGCCCATGCCATTTCTGTCAGGGGATTGTGGCTGGAAGAAGTGTCCCATTACCAGAAGCGGGTGAGCTGGATATCAAATAATCACAGAATCAGTTGGGTTGGAAAGACTTCGGATATCACTGAATTCAAGCCTTGACCAATCACCACCTGATCAGCTAGACCATGGCACTAAGTGCCATCTCTAGATGTTTATTGAACACCTCCAGGAATGGTGATTCCACCAGCTCCCTGGGCTGCCCATTACAGTGTTTAACATCCTTCCTGTGAAGGAATTCTTCCTGACGTCCAAGCTGAACCTCCCCTGGCACAGCTCGACACTGTGTCCTCTTGTCTTGTCTCCTTTCAGGTGATTGTAGAGAGAGAGGTCTCCCCTGAATGTCCTTCTCTCCAGGCTGAACAATCCAAGCTCCCTCAGCCACTCCTCACAGCATTTACCCTCTAGACCTTTTCTGTCCCTCTTTTCCTATGAGATCACAAGATGGCCAGACAGGCCCTCCTGAGCAAGAAAAGTTTCTTTGGACGCTATGTCTTTGCAGCTCAGTGAGTTAATGGAAGCAGCCTGCCGGGTTTATCTGTTTACTCCCCTCTGTGAGTTTATGTGAAGAGGATATCTGTCTCTGCCCACCTGAAGAGTAGATGTGTTGCTTGATGATTCCAGGAGTAGCAATGCCTTGACCAGTCCTTCTGTGTGACAAAAATCAGTGGCAGAAAAACCAACCCAATCATAACCAAAGTTGGCAACAGCACCCACAGAAAGGTCTTTTCTTCCAGAACTGCCCCACTGATGCAGGCAAAGCAGAGGCCAGGCTGCCCTTTCTGGATTGTGCTGCTCCTGTCAAGAGGTGAGTGCTGGATTTTCAGGAACCAGAGATGGGAATCACCACAGTTCTCCCTAGAGCATCCTCATGCTGTCCTTATGCCTCACCTGAACCTAAAGAACAAAGACCTCCCTGCTGCTGAAGAAAGCGTGGTGGGGTCTTCCCCAGGCAGGCCGCCATATGTGAGCAGTGGCCAGGGATCAGTGATGGGGGCTGGGGCTGCCTGCCAGAGCCCCGTGCTCCTGGTTGTCTGTCTGCACTGCAGGAGTGCGTGGTGTTGGTAAGCTGGGCTTGGCTGGAGGAGGTAAGGCAGGTGTGTTGGAACCAGCTGCCAGCACAGCACTGACCCTGGCTATCCACAGCAGTACAGCCCCTCCAGCACAGCAACACCTGACCCAAACCTCTACTCCAAGGCACTCATGGGACACCTCTTTCACTCTGGTGGACATGAGCACTCCACTCTCTGGTACATGAGCTCTAGTTTTCAATGCCTCCTTGCACTCTCCAAGGTAAATCCTGTGTCAAAACTATTGCCAGGAACAGGCACTAAGCCACTGTGGCTTTCTCCACTGTCCTCTGCCACCACTGCTACCTGTGGAAGAAAGCAGAATAAGCCACACAGATCTGTCCATTAGTTTTCCCTAACATGAAGCTGGGTTCTTTGAGAAGGCTGTACTCAGAGACATCCCACATCCTCCCTGAGAGGTGGCCTTACACCAGCACCTGGAAGCAGGGTGAGTCTCCTCAGCTGTGCAGGGCCTTTGTGATGGGTACCTCTGCCCAGCCTGTTCATCAGGAAGTAGTAGGTGATTAGGTGAAGCATCTGCTTTTATCCAGTTAAAGACCATTTTTCTCTTTGGATCACCTCAACAGACATTAACCATGCCTCTGAGTGCAAAGAGGGCCAGCAGAGAAGCCACCAGCAGGCCCAGCCACATCCGTCCCTGCAGCCACAGCTGGCCATGGGTCCCCAGCAGCATGGCTCCCTCCCCTAGGAAGTGCTACTGATGGGAGCCTCCTCATCCCAGACCAAGCCCTGCTGGGCTGCAGAAGTGCTGTGCCCTCCTGCCATTATGAGAGGCTGGAGAGGACTCAGGCAGTCACTGCCTGCATGTGCACAGGGCCACCCAGTCAGTGATTGCTTGCCCCTGAGGAATGCAATCTCCCAGTTACAGTGGAAAATTACAGGCGTGTTTAATATAGTTGCTCCAGCAGGCTAAATCTTCTGGGATATGACCATGTTGCTGAAAATGACTGAACATCTGGGACTACAGGCCTGCCTAAGTGGAAATCTGGGCTGGTATGGGTAAACATAGCCATTCAGGAACAAATAGCTGCAGTGTATTTTTTTTTTAATCTTTATTTTTAGTTATTGTATTGACTTCAATATCAACACAGGATAGAAAAACATCTCAAAAATGTCCGGTGGCTGCTGCCTCAGCATCCACAGGAGCTCTCTCTCTGATAAGGCTGGAGGGGATCAGCTGTCTGTAGGCCTTCTGGGCTGATGTGTTGATTTTTTGATGATGGTGTTTCCAAAGCATGCTCTTACCCAGGGGTCACAGTTTCTTGCTGCTTTTTTCCCACAGTTCAGCACAGAAACTCCATGAATGCCTTGTATTGCTTCAAGGGAAGGCGGTGATGCCTCAGCAAGCCTCAAAGGCTGGGAAATGCACTATATATGGGAAACTTTTAGGCATATTGAAAATGTTAGCATGGCCAAGAGGCCAAAGTGCTGCAGCAGGCATTGGGAGAGCCACTCTCTGTGTCTAGCTCATCTCCTCACTTCTCCACAACTCTTAGAGGTCATTTGAGCAAAAATAGTGCTGGGTTGTTTACAATACATGTGATGTATCACTGGTGTGATGCACTCATGGCTACACTTAAGCCCAGGCAAGTCCAGTGTCCAGAAAAATGTCATCATGCCCAAGCTTTGTTGCAATGCCACATGCAGTTCTAGGTATCTCCAAGTACTACCCGGACACTTTCTCAGCTGTAGAAGATATGTAAAAGAAGTTTGCCAGGCCACTAAAGGTCTAGGTGGATTGTGGGCATGGATGAAAATGTGTGTATGTGCATCCCTATGCTCACTCTTCATTCCCAGATGGAGCTTACTCTGCTCATGTCTCTGAGCTCCCCCTGACCAGGCAGGTTGCTCATTCTGACTGCATTTCTGTCTTTGAGCCCTTGTCTCAGATTCGTACATAAAAATTAAGTACAGTTATTTAGCACAGGACATGGCTTTTAAGCCATCTGGAAATGAGGGCTGGCGAAAGGCCCTCAGATCTGTATGAAAATTGTTGAGAAGAATAAAGTTGCTTCCTAAAGCAAACATTAGTGAAATTTCCCCAAACTGACTTGCTGGGGACATGGATATGCACCCCTTCTAGCAGGTGCAAAATGCAGCCCAGCTCCAGACTCAGGACACATGCTGAGGTACACAAACAGGTGAAAAAAGATCAAAACCAAACAACCACCCATTCAGCTGGCATTAACCTGGAGCAAAGGGCATTCCTCACTGCAATTCCTGTGGCAGATTCACTCACGATCTCTACCTGGATCAGTAGGAGGTATTGTTCACATTTTACCTGAAGATATATACATTTAAAAAATATGTTTGCTCTCTGTCTCTGCTGTTCATCGGAGCTTTCCTTGATTTGCACCAGGTGCAACTCACATCTGGACCTCAAGCATTTGTGAAGCCTCTGTGTGGTCAAATCTGCTGCACAATCTCTCCTCGGACTTCATCTGAGTAACACCAGTTACTGAGAGATCAGAAAACATTATTTCAGATACACAGCCAAGGAGAGATTCACCTCCCCTAAGGTGAGGAGCTGGTGGCAGATGGTGGTCAGGACAGGATCCCCCAATCCCCCCAGGGGTGCAGAAAAGACCCAGGAGCACCCTGAGGGGTCATTAGAGCTGACCAGCTGCCCCACCGGGGCAGGGGAGGGGGCAGAAAGATGCACAGGTACTTGTGCAAGTTGAGGAGCATCAGCAAGGTGCTCCTGGCATAGAAGCAGAGGATTAAACTCATGCTTAAGGGAAGTTAAACAGAACAAGGTGCAAGCAGGGACACTTTCACCGCTGCAGCTGTGGGCACATACAGTGACAAGGGACCCCAGCCACAGGTGACAAGGAAGCCTCAGCATTTGCCCTGGCATAGAAGCAGAGGATTAAACTCATGCTTAAGGGAAGTTAAACAGAACAAGGTGCAAGCAGGGACACTTTCACCGCTGCAGCTGTGGGCACATACAGTGACAAGGGACCCCAGCCACATGCTCTTGCTGGGCATGGCTGCCTGGACCTGATCAGCCTCTTACCTTAGAGTGCTACAAGAAGAGGCCATTCCTTGACCTGCAGAGCAGGTCCTCAAAAAGGCCCCCAGAGCTGCAGGACTGGAACAGGGAAGGCGATTCAAGGGAGTCTGAACCTGGTCATGGCAACACACGCAGCCTGCAGTTGCCTAAGGGGGTTGAAAATGTTCATGTGGAGCTGTGTGTGCAAAATAAACTGCCCAGAGCCACTCTGCAATGCAAGCAACCCCAGTCTGTGCCATCAAACACATCAGACACACATTTTGGGAGGGATGCTGCCCCTGGGCAGCCCCCAGGCCGGGGCTTCAGGAGGGGATGGAGTGGTGCAGGGCTGTGCCAAGAGCCAGGCTGACAGCTCTGCGGCACAGATTCTCACCTTGCAGTGCCTGGGGAAGTTCCAGAAAACTGTGTCATTTATTCCCATGTCTGTACCTCCACAGAGGCAGCACATCCTGCCCCGTGACTTGGCCCTGGCCGCAGCCAACATCTACAAAGTCAGGAGGAAAAAAAACAACAACAAGAAAACAGAAGCCAAGTTATGCAGCAGAGGGGGAACAAAAATATTTCCCGGGTCGCGGCGGGTGACCGGCAGAAACCCCGAAGGAAAGGCGCAGTAAATACAAAGCACGGCGGCTCGGACAAACAGCCCGGCTCGAGGCTCCGGGAGCAACCCCGGCAGCGCTCCAGGGACCAGGGACGGTGGCGGTGCCCGCGGGACGGGCCAGCACTCCCAGTCCTGCTCGGGGACATAAACAGGACGCCCCACCTCTGGCAGATAGCGATCAGCTGGACAAGGCAGAAGAGGGAAGAGGCCGGGGCCCCGCTGCGTCCCGGTCACTGTGAAATGACAAAGCATTGTTGCAAATGACAAAGTGCGAGCGGTGCTGCACAGAGCTTCCACACCGACCGCAAGAGGAGGGGACGATCCGTGCGGCTCCTGCAGCACCGGGGTCTGCTCCCTCGCCTGTGCTCCACGCTGGTGACTATTTAACACACCAGAAGCAGTAACGACTGAATTCTTCTGAGCAAAAAGCACTTATAATCGGATAATGGCCACTGAGCATCAGTAGGTGAGTTGCCGAAAGCCTGAAGGAAACCATGAGATTTTTTTTTTCCACCCACAACACTATTATGAAGCTGACAAGGTCCTGCTCTCTGCAATTCCTATTAATTTTACTGCCTGACCTTCAAGATTTAAAACAGCTTTGTCTGACATTCACGGGGCAGACAGGTATTGTTACATGCCGACCTAACCCAGGTAGCAGCCACGGGTTGTTCTCCACAAATGACTGCACTCCAGTCAGCTTTGGAAAACTCTCTGCTTTTTTTACAGGGAAATACTAAGTAAACGAGAATCACTTTAAATCCCATTCTCCCTTTCCACCCTCAGGGAAACACAACACATGCCAGAGAACAGAAATCACTGCTCATCCTGTATTCAAACAACAGGCAAGATAAAATCCTTAGAAATCCTTGAATACCCAGCAGATGATGACATACACTGAGCCATACTATACCTGTCGTTTAAACCCTCTGTGACTTGAAAAAATCAAATACACTGCAGTTATACCAGCCAGGGGCAAAGGAGGCGTGACCAGCTGGTCATTCTTTTCCTTCCAGGACTCTGATTTCTCCAGCAGAGTCTTTTTTTATCCTCTATGTAACAACCAAAATAGAGAGAAATAAAAAAGAACTAAAATAGCAACAGTACAAGAAAAAACACCATCAGGAGTTCCTGTTCACAAGGCTATCCTGGCATTCATCTGGGGCTGTTGACATATTTAATAGTCATCCGGTCTCTGCCAGCTGGATGCCAGCTTCAAACTCGAACCCACGACTGTGATAACTTCTTGCTTCATGTTACAGTTCAGGCACTGCTATTTTCCCTGTAGTGCTAGCAGCGCAGCTTCTTCTGAGGAACAGCTTATCTGAAGGCATCCTGAAAAATACACTTACATGGGCAATCTCCAAGTTTCTCCCACCTGGGGAAGCAAGGATTTTGCTTCCATGTTATGTTAAGGAAGGATTTTTTCTGAGTGAATTGTAGCAAAGAAAGCTTATTGCTTTGCTGTCAAAGGAAGATGTGTGTTACCATCATTTTAGTACAATTTCTGTAATGTTATGAATGTTTCTTCATTAAACTGAAGAAACATTTTCATTTTAATTATCTGTAGCCCATGGAGATACATGTCTTCCCAATTCCCCCTCCCAAGCTGGTGCAGAATTGCAGTCTGTTGGTGGATGCTGGTCCACCAGCATCCACCAACAGGGTTATACTAAGTGGGTTATACTAAGTGCTGTCCTAGGAAGTTTTCTCCCTAAAAACTGCAGTGTCTGAGGGCTCTGGGGCAATCAGAGTTTGGGGAAGAATCACTGTCCCCTTTGTCTTCTGTGGAGGATTTTGTTTTCCTTCCCTGGCATTACCGGGGAGCAGGGTGGAGCTGAGCCTTCACAGCTAGCAGTGCTCCCATGGTAAGACCACCGCACCTCCCACTTTCCACAGGCCTGACAGAGGCTTTGCAGCCCATCCCCTCTACCAGCAGGCCACTGTCAAGCAGCAGATGCCACAGGATGGAGGCAGAACCCACTGTCTGGCTGCAGGAACCCCAGTGGCAGGGAACGCACGCTAGCTCACAGCCTGCTGGTGACAGCTTAGCTGCCATGGAACAAGCCTGCTGAGAACCAGCAATATATGGCATTTCAAACTCTGTGGTTTGTATCCACCCACCTTGACATCCCTGGAAGTGTTCAAGGCCAAGTTGAATGGCACTGAGAACCTGGTGTAGTGGGATGTGTCCCTGCTCATGGCAGGGGGCTTGCAACCAAATGACCTTTAAGGTCCCTTCTAACCCCAAACCATTGTGTGATTCTGTTTTCCAGCACATATGAAAGCTCTCACAAAACATAAAGTCTGGCTTTGGAGCCCACCAAAGGCCACTTCTTGTATGCTTGGGGCAGGGGAGGATCCCTCACTGAGCATGCAGACATCTGGGAGACAGTAAGGGTCATCTTCTGCGAGCCAGAGGTGCTACAGACCTCACTCTCTGCAACCAAGTGGGGTTTTCCTAATGGCTCACCAAGTGGGTTTATCAATGGCCCACAAGCTGCTAAGCACTACTACTTCCATTGCAATTTTCTCCCTGCCACTCACTGATTAAACTCTATTTTAATAATAAGCCATAAAGATTACTGACTCATCCTTTCTCTTACCATTAAGGAAATGGTCAATTGGTCAATTATATTAAGTATCATAAAACTAAAAAAAAAAAAAAAAAAAAGAGATTCCTGTTAAGGGATCCACTTTTTTGCCCTTTATAAAGGAGAAACAACCTTCAGGTATCAGTTCCCAGCCAACACAACATTTGCATGTGTTATAATTAGATATTGGTTTTGTTGCTGCTCAAGGCAGTTACGGTGCTTTCCACTGCAAACCCACTTGAGCTGTGGGACTTGGCCAGTGATTCTGACCTTTTGTCAGCAATGAAATAAGAGTTATTTTTGAGAGAGCTGGTGCCTCCACATATTTTTTCCCTTGATGCTGTCATGCATCCATGATAACTTTATTAAGCAGAGAGGGAAATAATAACAGTGATATATTGTAGCATAAACTGGGAAGGATTTTGTTTAAATGCAAATAATACACAATAAAATCCATTTTGACTCTGTATCACATCGTGTGACAAGAGAGTGAACAGAGATAGCTACTGTTCTGAGCAAACAGAAACAAAATAACACAGTTAATAAATTTTTTCCTTGACTTTGCCTCCCTCGCATTCACAGCCTTGGAGCCCTCCAGTATCTTTAGGTGCTGATACGCTGCCCGGCGTGCTCGGTGTGACAGTGAACTCCAGATCCCTGTGCCGTGCCTGTCCCTCCAACCCTCGCTGTCCTGGGAAGGTCCTTCCTGGCACTGGCTTCTGTCACATCCTTCATGCAGGAGCAGCACAGGGGGCCCTTAGGGCTGCTTTTCTCCCACATTCACATCAGTTCAGCACACATTTCGGGGCAGCCTTGCGTGGGCAGCAGCCGTGCTGGGGGACCATCCCCGCAGGCTGCAGGGGCTGCTGGCTGCCATGGCTCTTGAGTGCAAGGGCAGTACAGGTGCTGAGGGTGAGCACAGGGAGCTTCTCCAAACAAGAAAATGCATGAAACAGAGACAAGCAAGGAAATAAAGTGACAATAATGTCCAAATGGAACTGAGATGCTGCTGCAGGCAGAAACGCCCCCACTATGCATGAGTACCATGCATGGGTACTGTAAGCTTCTCCGAAGAGAGCATCTAAAAATATCCTTTTACAAGGAGAAATAGCAAACATTATTTGGTGGCAAGGAAGAATCTGTATGAAGACATCAAGTATGGCAAAAAAGTGGGAAAAAAGGGGGAAAAAAGTGGAAAAAAGACAACCACTCAAAATAATAATAACCACCTTTTGGTAGTCAAGAGCTTGAAAGAGCTGAATAACTGTAAGTCTTGGGGTTTTTTCCCAATACAAATCATCCAGGCACATTAAAAAATACTGAAAGCTTGCAGTTCATGTTTAGCACTTTCATCAGCAGATATTGGGATGCATGTTGGGAATCTCTGAGCAGCAATCTCAGCTGGTGTGCTCAAAGACTTGCTTTTTTTCCAGCTATACCTCTTGGTATAGTAAAAAGTGTCCCTCCTTGATGAGTACCTTCTTTCACCTCTTCCCTTACACCATCAAGGACACAAGGCTGACTGGAGAAGGGCAAAAGGTTGGTGTGGGGCTTGGAACACAAACCCTATGAGGAACGACTGAGGGAGCTGGGGTTGTTTAGCCTGGAGAAAAGGAGACTCAGAGGTGACCTTATTGCTCTCTACAACTCCCTGAAAGATGGTTGTAGCCAGGTGGGGGTGGGTCTCTTCCTCCCAGCAGCACTGACAGAACCAGAAGACTCAGTCTCTGAGCCAGGGGAAATACAGGCTGGATATTGGGAAAAAGTTTTATACAGAGAGGGTGATAAAGTACTGGAATGGTCTGCCCAGGGAAGTGGTGGAGTCACCATCCCCGGATGTGCTTTAAAAAAGTCTGGATGTGGCACTTGGTGCCATGGTCTAGTTGAGGTATTACGGCTGAGTTGGACTCCATGATCTTGAATGTCTCTTCCAACCTAGTGATTCTGTGTGACAGCACTCCAGACCTCAGCTCCATAAAGGCAGAGATGTTTTTGTGCCCACCAACGCCTGACCCCACTTGGGCCAGGGGCTGGCTCCTGCCCACAGCCAGCCAGGCGCCAGCTGGGAGCAGTTGGGAATGGCTCCTGGCTGGCACCTCGCCGGCCTTGCTCCGGGCAGCCGAGGGCAGGGCTCAGTTCCTCGGGAAGGTCTGCAGGGCAAATTGCACCACACTACCTGGCGCTCCGCGGGAGGCGTGGATGTGCAGCCATGGGCCTGCAATTTACATTTAAAGAATTAATAAAAATTCCAGGCTAGAGAGCTTCTGTGGAGTTTATAACCTTGACTTTTTTTTTATCACCCCCTGCCTTGTTTCTTTTCCCCTTTTTAACCAAACCAACCCGTACAAATTAGTATTTGAAAGTATGCAATTAGCAAGCTGCTTCTGCAGCTATGCAGTTCTCCTGCCACCCAGTTTCCCAATGGGGGGAAATCAACAATAAAGAACAAAGAAAAGAATTTGCTGCCTCATATTAATGACTGCTGTTTGAGGACAGCATTTGTATTTTAAATGAATAGCTTGCTGAGGACAAAAAGGTCAGAACTGCATTTTATGGTAGCGATAGAATAGCAGGAGGACAGAAGAAAGGCGAAAGCTGCGAGCAGACAGGCGGAACACCGCACTCTGCTTGCCGGAGAGGCTGGGATCGGCGCCCGGCCACATTGGGGCCATGTGTTCAGGAGTCAAAATATGGGCACGGTCCTGCAAGGTGGTGAGGACAGCAGTGGGAGAGGAGAATACACATCCCAGCCAGCCCAGTAAGGTTTGAGGACACAGCATGGTTCAGGCATACAGCTCAGCCCAGTGATCCCCCCCAAAATCCTTCCCTTCTGCAAAGCCATATGGATTTAGCTCCTTGCAAAAAGAATTTTTTCGTTGACTCTGAGGCTCTGACTTTGCATTGTGCCTTAAGACGCTGCCTGTGGATACACAACAAGACCCTGCCAACATCCAGTAAGAAAACCTGTGCCTTCGTATTGAGTGCAGCTACCTGGAAATGTGCCCTTTGGTACCTTAAAATCTTCAAATTGCTTGAAATTAAATCTAAATTGAGAAACCCAAATGAAACCTGATGTTGATTCAAGTATGCTGCAGAACTCCAGCCCTCATCCATAGACATTGATCAGCACCTACCTGAGAACTGAGCCTGCTGGCTCTCTGAGGCTTCAGGAAAAGGTGAGCTAGTATGGGACTATTTTAACTAATGATATGCAATCAGAATGAAATAGTCACACCTCAACTGATGACAAAGCTGGCCAGAAAGAAATACTAAGTCACACAGGGAACCCTGAAATGGACACTCCACTGGGGTATTACCTGAGCAGCCAACTTATAGACAACTTCTGCAAAGTTGTTGAGAGCGGTAAGAAGCTTCTCCAAGCACAAGGGCTTGTGCCACTAACCTTTCCTAGTGTGAGGCAGCCCACGGTCCCACTGGGCCACAGGGACTGACTGGACCCCTACAGCCTGTGTCTGGGATGTATGGCTCCCTGCCAGACCCCTGGGTGAGAGGTGCCACACTGGAAACCCACAGGATACCTGCATTTCCTTTGCCCAGGAACATCCCCAGCCTCCTGTGCAGATTCCCTGCTGCTTTGAACTGTAGCACTGTGGCTGTGCAGCTCTAGCAAGGACCTAACAGAAAAATCATATTGGTACACAGTCAGAGAGAGGGCAAAATCTGGTGCCTTGCCTCCACTATCCCTTATTTCAAGAGGTTTTATTCCTGGTGCTCTACAGTGCCCTCTTCTCCTTGGGGTCATTCCTGTTGCTGCCATCGCCTCCTGCTCTCTGCACATCTCCTGGGTGCTTTAACAGGAGCCTACAGCACTCAGTCTAGGCCTGGAGTGTTTGCACCCATTTAGGGCCCTCCTCAAAGGAAAGATGGACCTCTTGCCTCAGCCTCACGGCAG